TTTCTTTTAAACCTGCCATCAATTCCCAAAGTCCACATTCCTGAGGGCTTTTTTTTCGATGAGAAACGTAGGAAAACATCTCGTAGCCTTGAAAAAAAAAAATTAAAGCAAAATAATTAAACAGAATGCCTACGCTCGAATCAATCAATCAATGTTTATTGTATATAGCCCAATATCACAAATGTTACATTCTGTCTCAGTCGGGTCTTCACAGTTTGTACATGAATATGCAGTATGGACAACACGACACCCTCTGTCCTTAACCCTCACATCGTACAAGGGGAAAAACTTCCAGACGAAAACCCACAGTTTAGAAGGGAAAAAATGGGAGAAACCTCAGGGAGAGACAACAGAGGGAGGGATCGCCTCTCCCAGGACGGACAGGACGGTGCAAGTAGATGCCGTGTGTAAATTGAGGCGCATGAAGTTGACAAAAACGGTTCAACATGTCTCGTATTACAACCCATTGTAAGTTCAGCCTCATCTTTCTCCACACAGCAGCCGCACACCTTTAGTTTAATCTGCTAAAAAGGGCCACATTATTAACCCGAAAGTACACAAAAAGTACACTTCAGTATGCCTCCAAGTTCGCTTGACATGCCTTCACGCATTTTTCACAGATATCTGTTCACGGTTTCTTCAACAAAACGTGTTTCACATGTAAGAGGTTTAGCTCTCATTCAGAACAATGAATTATGCTCTCCCTCTCACTGATTACTCGCACATCGACCATTGGAAGACCTTTGCGGATCTCTGGACACGTCGTTTAGCTCAAATATAAACACCTGTGTCATGGAACACGGATGATGTCATAACTCCAACTTGACACTGCTTCAGGGCCTCCATTTATAAAGGAATATGCTCAAAAAATGGCGTACGGGCAGTTTCTACGCAATGTTGCGATTTATAAAATAACAAACTTTGAGCGGCGAAAACGTGTGGCTTCCCACGCAAACTCTAACCCCATGCGTACGCACTAAGCACACAAACGGGAGAGACGAGAAACTGCCGACACCGCTTGGCAGAAGGAAGAATGGGATAAATATGTGAAATGAATACAATAATAAAAATGGTTTACCTCTCATTTATCATATATGAAGCAATTCACTTTTCAAACATTGATTAAAGCCAATCTTGAAAAATGATGTAACAAACGCCTGTTTGCAGACTCCTCAGTGCACACCAAAAACATAACTGGGAGAAATAAATAAATACGGATATGTTATTTAAAAACACCTCGAAGTATGTGTTGTGTTAATGTTATGAAATGTTTTCTCATAAATGATGCGGTAACCAGAGGACAGAATACGCTCTAAACTGACTCCCGTTGTGCATTTCCTATAGGTTGTAGATACGAGGCATGTTTTTATATATAGCCTTATGTTTAATACCATGTTTAATCATGTTTTATGCCGTTTGCCAAGACTTGATAAGTCGCTCGTAAAACACAGGAGGTATGGAAACTAAGAGCACCATATGTGGTAAATTGTACAGCTAATATAACACAACACATTAGTTGTATTTCCTTTAACTGGTGGATATAGAGTTGCTGCGGGGGGTTGAGATCATAGACTGGTTGAGATGCACAGGCTGCAGTGGAGACGCTGCGCACAGCTGATCGACAGCTGGGACACAAACCGCCAAATACAAAAACATAATTCAGATCCAGTCGTCATGACTCCACTCCGGAGGGATTCCCCGATCATTTCTTACAGTTTCTCATCAAGGGGGTGTCTCCTGTCCCCGGTATAAACACACTGCCTGATGAAGGCTATATATTTTTTGTCATTAACCTTTTTCGGACCACTTATTTATTTATTTTGGTGGCGATCCGACCTCCATGCTGCTACTCTGGTTCAAACTGCATCCACCAAACAATATGATTTATCTCGACCTCCCCAAAATAACCAAAATCTGACACGGTGTCAGATGTTTTTTTTAGCTGTTCTGTCGTCATTTCCTGCGATCTTCTCCATGCAGTCAATCAAAATGAATGAATGAAAGGGCGTTTCTTTGAATATTTATAGGCAAACATGGGCGTTACGCGGAGCCCGCAAAAGCTGCACCGCATTTCGAGTCGGTTGTGATTTATAAAGGGAAACAGGCGTAGGAAGTGCCATACGCACTTTCCTCGCCGGTACGCAATGTTTGGTGAATCGGAAAGTGGGGGAAAATGTATGGACCTATTTTTCGGATTTCTACTACGTAAGCAACCTTCCCACGTCAATCCTACGCACGGCGTTATACATGAGGCCCCAGAGCAGCAGACTTCAGATAATGGTTAACGGTACTGCCCTCAACAGCTCTACGTCAATTACGTAATCATATGCCGTTTGCTGGAAACCCATCCCTCGCCTTAAAAGAGGATGTCGCTATAACTCCTATGAAAATGTTCAAAAAGTGTTAAAAAAAGTTGCTTCACATGACTATCTTTCTCAAGGGAACTTCGGTATAATGGTACAGCAGCCTCTTCAGTTATTACCTTCTTTCAGACCTCGGTGCTAATTCAGAAACTTTAGGCCCAAAATTGTAGTTCCCTGACCGGGAATCGAACCCGGGCCGCGGCGGTGAGAGCGCCGAATCCTAACCACTAGACCACCAGGGAAGTGATGTAGTCAGCTACTTTTCAGCCTATATTGTACTTTACTATTTATAAATGGAGGAGTTTCGTTTTGAATACCATGATGGGCCACAATTAGCCAGACATTTTTCACATCATGTAGTGACAAAAAGTTCTATGTGAAAGAAAGGCCTACTCGTCATCATTAGTCAAAAAGAGACCAAAATATATAATTTAAAGGCCCTCTTCAGCACTGTGTAAACCCTCGAACAGGCTCAAAAGTGATTTTGATTGATCAGAACCATGTGGGTGACAACCGATTATTTTACACAGTCTATGGTAGGTTACATACTTGATATTGGTGGTTAAACATGTACTGACCTCACGTTTTGTAAATTTCCACAAGGTGGTGTAGTAGTCCATATTTAAGGCTGTTTGTTGTATTCATGTAATAGGCCAATGCCTTAGATAAGATAAAAGCATGTTAAATATTTAAAAGATGGAAAGATACTGTAGTGTTTGTACTTTAAATAATTGGCCATTTTACTTTGGATGTAAGTAAATATAACCTCAACCAGGTGAATGGCGATAAAAGCATCAATGGGCAGTTTTTATTAAATGCTCTGTGCCTGGAAAACTGTCTTTCAAAAACTTTCAAAAAGCAAAATGCTACCTTTATCCATTGCATTTTTAAAGTGATTCTCTTTTTGAGATTTCATTACAGGTTTGGCTAAATTGCAATGCAGATTACGAAGAGGTTGATAAATGGATAGGAGCGTGGAGGAAGATTGCATGCAGAAATGATCTCAGGTTGATAAAAGTAAATATTTGGTGTATGTCAGTGGACTCCCTCAAAAGACGGCAAGATCTGAAACCATAAGAAATGTCATACTGATGCTGAATTACTTTCCTTTTTCATAATCAATGGAAAACATATTGAAGAGCATGTTTAGGTGTGTTTTCCAAAAGGTGAGGAGGAGAATAATAATCATAACATACAACTGAATAAATAAGAAAACACATTTTCTCAGCAAAAAATATTCATGGGGAAGAAAGAAAATGAAAGAGAGTACATCCAATACTCTTCCCTTGCTTAGAGACAGTAAACACCATGGATATTTCCAAGAAGATTAAAATGTAAGAATAGCAACATACATTTTGATATTAAAAAAAA